GATTGCAAGAGGGCACAGGCCGGGCTGAGGGACCCCCCTACCCCCGAGTGCACAAATTTTTGTGCACTGGTCCTCTAGTGTAATATAAAAAACCACATTGTGAATTTATGAATAAATTACAGAAATGTAGGCTAATGTCTTTAAAATGACTTTATTGATATTTCTGTACTAAAATAGCCATATCAGCCCTAACTGGTTTGGCTCAGTGGATAGAGCGTCAGACTGTGGACTCAAGGGTCCCAGGTTCGATTCCGGTCAAGGGCATGTACCTTGGTTGCAGGCACAACCCCAGTAGGGAGTGTGCAGGAGGCAGCTGATTGATGTTTCTAACTCTCTATCCCTCTCCCTTCCTCTCTGTAAAAAAATCAATAAAATATATTTAAAAAAATAAAACTGAAGGTCAGGCTCAGTCAACTTGCAACCCAATCCCCACGCCTCCCCACTTCCCCAGTAGGAGCTGGGGTCCTCAAATTGCTGCAGCCCCACATCATCCCTGCCCCACCACAGCTCAGTCCTGCCCCCAGGGACAGGGAGTTCTCTGCCAGAGACGTCCACAGGCTCCGTCCCTCCATCCCTTCCGTTTCTGCTCAGAGGCTGCTCTGCCGTGCCCCACGCTATCTTCTGGGCCCTGCTTTCACCGGCCACTGTGTGGATACTGGACATGTGAACTGCTTACAGCTTTTCACCCCTCACCAGGTGCCTTTCCTCCAGGCCCCAGGGCGGGGGAGCCCCACAGTGTGTGAGTTTAGTGCCCCCAGGCAGAGGTGATTGGAGACCATCCCTGCTTGCCTGTCTGTTGTTGGGACGATACTTCTGGTTCCTGGGACCACTTCCCACTATGATCACGTACCTCAGTCCCCATCCTGGGGTCTGCTTGCGGGGACACCCCCTTGGTGCATAAAGCAGGAGCCCCTGCTTCCCTTCTCTGCATTTGTGTGAGCCCCTGCCATCACATCTGTGTGCTGACCATGCCCCCGGAGGACAGGCCCCCTTTATCTCACTGCGGGACCCCAGAGCCTGGAAGACCCCGCTCCCACAGCAGGTGCTCCGGAAATTGCTGATACAGGGAATGAAGAAAGAAAGAAGCGATGAGGATTGAGTGAGGGAGGGCTGGTTGTTCTGCGTAGGCACAGGAGGCGTCTGCCGTGGCCGAGAGCAGGATGGAAACTGAAGCTCCCTCCATCTAGGCCTGTGGGATTTGCCTAGATGGTCGCCTCCCCGCAGGGACCCAGGGAGACAGAGTGCTCTGCACAGTCCCCCTACCCCCCGCCCCGGGGAGGGGGGACCTCTGTTGAAGAGGAAGCATAAGCAGAGTCCTCGCAGCTCTCAGCTGGGCTGCGGGGACACCACCAGGACGCGCCGCGCCGTTCTAACCACGTTCTCTCCAGCTCTGCTCCTCATATGGAAATAATATTGGGCCTCATAAAAGATCCAGGTTCTTGTTTCAAATTATGAAACAAACATTCTCCTCGGATAATACCATGTCAAGCCGCGAGTGAGGTTTTGAATTCCAACTTCAAGGGGACGCTGAGATTAGCTCTAAACCAGAGCATGTACGTTTGTAATAAACCGGAGGCCACGTCCTGCTGCCAATTAGAAGGAACTGTGGGATCCGTTCCTTTGAATTATTTGAATCTATGCGTATGTGAGGCCCCGTGCAAAGCCTTAAAATTGTGCACAAAAGTATAAATTCAAAAATAATTAATGCGATTTAATGTCAATGAGTAAACTTCAAAGCGCTGCACAACGTCAGAACCTCATCAAAGCAGAAAAAACAAATGTGTTTCCAGTTCAGATCTGAAACCCTCCCAGTGGCCCAGCATTTAATCTTGCGGGAAGGCTTGCGAAACCCTCTGGACGGAGGGTGGTCATGTGTGCGGCCCGCGCATCCCAGAGAAAAAGTTAACTGCTTCTAAGGGAGTAAAGAGAGAAGTCTTCCCTGAGTAAGCAGACAAGGCTAACCCTCAAGACACGTCCCAAAGCTTAGCAAAACGGTGTTTAAACTCCTGCTTTCACTGAACGCTGCTTTTTAAAAAGGAGCCAGCTTCTTCACTTTGGGCATTTTCTGGCCAACTTCAGCTCAGGGCTTTGCGGCTGACACATGTGCCTCTCTTCAATGCCTTTGGAGACGGAGAACAAAATGAGCATGAACTCGGCGTTAGTGTTCAGAAGAGGAGCGTGAGTTCGCGAGCTCCGTGCTAAGTGCCTGAGGATTAACGTTAAGTGCGCATCATTTGGAACTATTTCAGAATTAACAGCGGGCTCCGTCATGAGAACTGCACGCCTTGTTTTACAACTCGCCGCTGCTCGGGAAAGCACACCAAGATCACTTAAAATGTGCGCGTAGCTGTGAGCACCGTGGCCTTTCCTTCAGTGACTCTGGTGGCCCAGAAGGGTCAAAGCCATCCAACTTCAAAGGCCCTCGTGACGTCTTCCCAAGTCTTTCTCTGCCCGGAATTGACCCAAACACCCTCCCATGAGCCTCCAGAGAGGAGAATAATGCAGTCTTTCTTGGAAATCTGCTCTCGTGTTTAAGCCCCTGTCAGGAAGTTATTCCTTGTCTGCGTCTCCATGACACCAATACATTAAGTCAATTAGGCCAAAAATTGAGTCACCCACCCACATGTTGTGTCTGCATGGGGCTCAACAATGAGGGGCTGGGTTAATGGGAGGTTTTGACATCCCTGTAGCCCAGACTGGGCGCCTCAACAAGCGTTCCTGTGATACAATGTCAATCAGTGTTGCGTTTCCATGTTGATTATAACATTTTGCTCCTAGAAACCTCCTTCAGCCAACCCAGGGAGTTAGAGGCGTCTCTGTGTCTTTGAGGAAATGGTCACCTCACCCCTGGCCTGGGCAGGGAAATGAGTGACATCACCTGCCCAGGTGAGTCAGGCCCCTGGGCTCCTGAGGGAAGGAGTGGGGATCGTGGGCCACCTACCGGGACAAGTCCACACCATGGCAGCTGTGGCTGGAAGAGCTCGGCGAGGCCCTCGTCGCCCCCTCCTTCCTCTGCCCTTACTGGCGGTCCATCAGTTTATTGAGTGCCTACTGTGCGCCAGGTGCTGGGGTGGACATCAGGACTTCAGGAATGGCTGTTCCTGCTTAAAAGAACTGAAAGCTGAGAGGAAGGGAAACACAGCGCTAAACAAGAGGACCGCGGGGTCCCTCCCTCTTCGCCCTGTCCTGCAGCTCCTCCATCAACCCAGCGGTCTCCTCCTCTGCTCATCACTGCCCAGGGCCCCAGCCACAGCTGCTGAGCCCCACCTTCTCCCTGGGGTTTCTCAAGGCCCGCGTCTTTGCTGGGGGTAGTGCGGATGTTGGCGGTTTTTGTCATTCTCTGGAGCCCTTGTTCCAGGGAGTCTTCAGCCAGAACTGCCGGAGCCGAGCTCACCACCATCTTGGTAGGAACCAGCACTCCGCTGGCCCCAATCTGAGTCATAAAAACAGGATTTAGATGCAAATCAGCAAGTGCCACCCAGGCCCAAAGGAATATTGGCCGGAGACAGCGGAAGCGGTGTCCTCTTCCCCAGCGCCTCCCCGAGGAGCGCAGACCCTTGAGGCTGGAGCCTGTCTCCTCCCGGCTGTCTGTCTGCAGAAGGTGGGTGCAAGCAGGTGCACACAGCTGCGCAGCTGCCCCAACACGTGGGGGCACCGAAGAGCTTAGGGACCCATGGCTGCCCATCTGGCCCCCTTCTGACAAAACAGAAAGTGAGGGTTGAGGTGTGCGTGCCTGAGGGAAGGTGATCCTCACAACAGTGGGCCCGGCGTCTGCCATTGTTTCAGAGTCGCCTGGCTTTTCCTTCACCACGAAGGCCCCAGTGAGGACACGCAGTATTTGACTAGAGGGAGGTAACTACGTGTAGATGTTTAAAGGTTGAAGTTCTTGTGTGTGTGTGAGTGTGTGTGTGTGTGTGAGTGTATGTGCACATGTGTGTGTGCACATGCGAGTGTGTGTGTGTGTGTGTGTGTGTGTGTGTGTGAGCATGGGTGTAGGTGTGGGTGTGTGCATGACCTCCTAGTGAACCTCAGGCAGGTGTGGCCGGGGGGTAGCTGTGGGGCCCCGGAGTTTGGGCAGTTTCCCACCAAGAGAAGTGGGTCCTTCTCCAGGGCTAGAATCCTGTCACCGCAGACCCCTCTGTGCAGGGGCTGATGCCCCAACCACTGAGCCACACTGGCAGGGGCGCGTTTGGCATCTTAACCCACTCAAGTGCATCTTGTTTTTTCTCTGATTCAGTGGGAAGCAGCTTCCTCCTCCCACAATCATGGTCTGAAACCTCCCGGCCTCTGTGCTCTGCCTCGCTGCTGCCAGGTGAGTTTGGACCCGAGTCCTCTGCAGCTGCTCCTGCTCCAAGTGGGGTAGGCTCGAGCCCCTGTGAGGCCCCAAACCAGTGGGTGCTGTGGGGCTGGTGACCTTACCCCTCGGGAGACCTCCCTTCCCTCAGGAGCGAAGTCAGAATAATGCCTCTGCCCTCAGACTTTGTTTGGGTGGATGGGCCTGGCCCACCGTACCTGCCTTCTCTACCTGCCGGGCGGGGCTGAGGAAACTGTGCATTAAGGAGGGTCTGGAGCCAGCAGAGGGGGCCGAGGCTGGGGACGAGAGGGCATCTGTCCCGCAGGTCCTGCTTGACACCCGGGAGCACACGGCTCACTCAGCCTCCATGCTGAGCATCAGGCAGGGACGGGGAGCGGGCTCTCTCCGAGGCAGCCACCAGCCACACAGGTGCCTGCAGTCAGGACGATGTGGCTTCCTTCACACATTCCCTCAGCTGCTGGGAGGGAGAAGCGTCCCAGCTCAGGCGCCTTGGAGGCAGGGCAGTGCTATGGAACCCCGTTCTGGGGGCCCTTCTCCTGGGCCCCCGCAGGTGGGATTTCTCCAGAAGGGCCACAAAGAGGAGCTGCAGGCCCCGGTGGCCCCGGTAGGGACGGTGGGGACCTTGGGACATGCCCCAGGTTTGGTCCACAGGGAGTGCGGTAGCAGCCAAGGGCACCCGATGGCTTCCAGGGACAGAAGTGGGGACTTGAAGCCCCACCTTCCAAAGTGCCTCCTGGGCTGGAGGAAAAGCAGGAACCGGCCCTGACACACGGGCCAGGCCTTCCCCGCTGGGCCGGGAGCCTCATCCCTTCCTCCTTCGGACCACACAGCCTATCTCGGTGCCTGCAGGGCCCAGGCAACCCTCCTAAGGAAACAGCAGTCCCGCGTCCATAGCCCCGGTTTCTCCCTGTTCTTCCCCAAGGTCCCTTTCACCATCTGCCCCACCTTCTCACCTGCTGGGAGCCTCATCCCTTTCTGGGAAAGTCTCTGGCACATGGAGCCTTCCCTCAGAATCCAGGAAGGTGCTATAAGGCGTCTGTGATCGCCCAGAGGCCCCTGGCGGCAGGCCCCCCGTGTTCTGGGTGGAGGTTCAACGCACATGGCTAGTCAGACTTCACAGAGCACCTCCGCTGCTGGCTGCACCTGGTTTGGAAAACTTCCCTCTTTCCCCCCAGGACATAGAACTATGACTTTCACTTCGACGTGTCCCCAATCGCCTTACTAAATGCAGTGATTTGTTCTGATAATTTTTTTTTCTGATGTCAGTGTCCAGGCTTCTGTGAGGGGCTGTTCTATCTTATTTGACCTCTTTTTCTCACCACAGGAGCCGGCAGGCCCTGTGGAGAGGTGGGAGAGGCGGGAGCTGGCGCCGTCTTTTCCTGCCACAGGAAAGCGCTCCATGTTTTCCACGGTGCTGTCCCCAGGACCGTGGATGCCTGTCACCGAGTCAGAGCGACCCCCGCCCCTCCCAGGGGGCCTCCGTTTTTTTCATGAGTAAGTGCTTTCTTGAAAACATCAATTAAGATGATCTATGCCTTGTCTCCTTTATTCTATTAGCATCTTGAATTGCTGACCTTGAATTTTTTGAAAAATACAACTTTGTTATTCTGAATTATTCTTTTTATGTAAAAACTAAAATATGCCATCTGATTTGCTAATATTTTGCGTGGGATGCTTGCATCCATGAGCGTGAGATTGATTGGTAGTTATTCTTCATGTACTGTGTCTGGTTGTTGGATACCAAGGTTATGCTGCTCATGGAGTTATTTGGGAAATATTTCCTCTTTCTATTCTACGGACTGATCTGTATAAGTTTGATATTAATTCTTTCCTAAATGCTTGGAAGAATTTACTACTAAAGCCACTTAGGCCTAGAGCAGTGATGGTGAACCTTTTGAGCTCGGCCTGTCAGCATTTTGAAAAACCCTAACTTAACTCTGGTGCCGTGTCACATAGAGAAATTTTTTGATATTTGCAACCATAGTAAAACATAGACTTATATTATTGCTATTTGTTTTATATATTTAAATGCCATTTAACTAAGAAAAATCAACCAAAAAAATGAGTTCATGTGTCACCTCTGACATGCGTGTCATAAGTTTGCCATTACTGGCCTAGAGGTTTATCTGTGGGAAGATTTTAAATTGCAGAGTCCATTTCTCTAACAAAGTTAGATTTCTCCTCTTTCCTAGTGTTAGTTTTGGAAAGGTGTGTTTATCTAGAAATTCACCCATATCCTCTATATTTGAAAAAATAATGGCACAAAGTGTTTCAAAATAACCACATTACACTTAAGCATCTATGGAAGGTGTGGTGGCCTTTCTCTTTTCATTTTGATGTTCAAAATCTGTGCCCTGGCCCTTTCCTCTCCACGTTGTCAGGGTGTTCTTGGTCTTCTCCGGCTCATCTTTTTAAAAACAATACTTTATTGTGTGGTTTTTTAGTTTCTGGTTCCTCCTGTTTCACTGGCAAATTTCCGTGGGTGCTGGCTCTAGACCAGGGGTGGGCAAACTTTTTGACTCGAGGGCCACAATGGGTTCTTAAACTGGACCAGAGGGCCAGAACAAAAGCATGGGTGGAGTGTTTGTGTGAACTAATATAAATTCAAAGTGAACATCATTACATAAAAGGGTACGGTCTTTTTTTTCAATAGTTTTATTCATTTCAAATGGGCCAGATCCGGCCCGCGGGCCATAGTTTGTCCACGGCTGTTCTAGACACATGTTCTGAGGCACGTGGCTGGGTGCATTCTAGCCCCTCTCCCCCCACTAGGCCGGGGGCGTCCTAGCCCCTTTCCTCTCATTGGGGCCGAGCATGTGTGGAGACCAGACAGGACCCACTCAGGCCTCCTCCTCCTTCCCCAGCCTCTGCAAGCGCTCACTGGCCATCCAACAAATGTGCAAGGGTCCAACACAGGCCAGACCCCAGAAGGAGAGCAGCAAAGACAGTAGGGCCCACCATGGTGCGACCAGGCCCAAGTTGGCTCCTCACGTCCACTCCCAGCAGAGGCACAAGGAAACAAAACTTCTAGTCTGTCCACACATCGGGCGCATCACTGGTGAGTGGGAGGGTGAGCTCTTGGATGAGAGAGGAACCCCGAGGGCACCGTCTTCCCCGGGCTCCACCATCCTGGATGGTCCTCAAGGCTCCAGGTAACTGGCTGTGGGTGGGAGGTGGAGTGGGTTCAGCCAGAGCAAACTGGAGCTCAGCCCTCATACTCTCTTGCCTGTTTGTGTCACTACATGCTCTGCATACGGCACCATGACCTCATGTCTGTCCCTTTGACACCAAAGGGAGACTGTGGACAAGAGGACCACAATCCTACGGAGCCCCATGGGCCTGGGGAGAGCAGCCCTGGGGCGGCTGGGCTCGGAGACACCTGGTGCTCTGGTGCTGAGCCCGGGGCAGCCCCATCTCCAGAGGCCACTTCCGTAGCCATGGGAGACCATGGGTCTGGGGTGCGTTCTCCGGGATTCAGATGGAAGGAGGGAATCCACATAACAGATGAGCATCCCCAGCTGCTATCGTCCCCACTGGCCCTGGAAGTTCACGTTTTTCTCCAAGTGGCGGTGGGCGCAGACCATGACTGCGGGCAGGTGAGGATTTGGAGAACAGAGGGCATTTGCATTGTTGACCTTTGAGCCTGGGCACATGACCAGCCTCTCTGTCTCCCCATACCTACGGCCCTATCCCAGGCCTGCGCTGACTCAGAAGCTGACAGGCTCATGCCTTCCTTATACCTGGGCTTTCCCAGGCCCAGTGTGCTGTTTCCGGATGTGGACAGAGCAGGATGGCACCAGGGACCTTGAGAGGGCCGGCTGCTCCAGTCACTGAAACCATTCATGTCATTTGTGGGTGAGTCAGCGCAGGCCACAGTTAAAAACAAAAACACACTGCAGGTAGGGCCTTAACCATGACCCGCTTAGTCCTCACAATTCCAGGACTGGAAGGTCTCAGACACCACATGTGGCTCCAACGCAGCTGTGAGCTGGCCACGGAGGCAGCCACAGGGCCATCATTTCCTGTCCCCACTGTCCTGGCTCCAGCCTGTGACTCATAGGCCCCCTTTCAGGGCTTTCACCCAGGAATTTCATTCCTTTTGTGTGACATTTTCAGTCATCACAAACCTATGAAAACAGACTTCTCCTTTGCCCCATTCCGACTGTTCAGAAATGTCTCCTCTCTAATCCTCACCCACGGCTTGGGTTTCTGGTGAGCAAATGCAGACGCACAGAGGACCCGCGGTGTTGCCTGTCTGGAAGGAAGACCCTGGTGCCCATCCCTTGTTCCATGGAAATCACTGGTGCCTGGTGGGGGAGAGAAGTCAAAGATTTGCAAGTCCTTAGCACTGGGTGCATCCAAAGCCGTGGGCTTGACGCAGATCCCGGAGAAGTCTGCTGGGGGTGGGGAGGAGGCTGGGAGGAGAAAAAGTGGGGATCAGAGGAGTACATGACAGGCTCTACTGGTCTCCCCAGAGTCCTCCTAAAAACTCACAGGGACCATCATGGAGTGACACCAAGACCCACGAACAGGCTCCTCCAGGACTGGCCACACCATCCCAGCATCCCACAGCCAGCAAGGTGCCAGCGCACGCCCGGGAGAGTGGGGATCAGAGCCCAGGATGGCCCTGGGCTACGCACTCCGAATCACCAATACCACTCACCGAAAGGAGAGGACCAGGATGGGAGCAGGGCCTGGGGCTGGGCGGAGGAAGGGGCGGGTCAGAGGGGCCATGAGGACAGCCAGGACAGGGTGAGGACATCGCCACACAGCTGGCCAAGGGCAGCGCTCTGTAAACAAGGCTGTGGAATGTTCCTGAAGACGTTGAGCAGGGACCAGGGCTGTACTCTGTGGGGAGGACTGTCTGGGTCCCATAACAACCAGAGAAACCCAGCTGGGAGGACACTTCCCAGGAGCTGCCTGATCACTGTCCATGCAAATCCATCAGTGTTCACCGGAAGACACACACCATACATCCAGGAACGTGCATGTGCACACACACACATCACACATGTCACATACACATTCAGACATTACACACACGTGCACATGCATCACATACATGCATACACATCACACACAGATACACACATTCAGTTACACTCATACACATACATGCACACACAGAGACACACATCACACATCCAGACACACACCACACTCACATAAATGCACAATGCACACATATACACAGACAGACACACACCCTGTACACCATAAATGCACACCCAGATACACAAACACACAAGCCATGCACACGCACTCCCCATCACCTTTTCCTGCCTCTGACATGCATGACTTTCTCACAGGCCTTTACATTTTTTTGTTTGTTTCTGTTCAATTTTCTTCACTCCTGTCATTTCCAGTTCCTTTTTCTGACTGTTTTCCCATGATGTCTATTCTTAGATTCTTTTAAATTTAGTCTCCATTTCTGAAATTGCATTTCCTTTGTTTTTCGCAGTATTTCCTGATTTCTCATGTGCCTGTGATCTGGCTACATCGCCACTAGCTTTTCGGTTTCTGACTTATACTCTTGTCTCAAAGTTTAAATATTGCCTTCATTTCTTGAATTCATTTTGAAGTATCTTATGGGGTAGGTTGCAGTCCAGGTGTGTATGCGGGTGGTGTGTGTGTCCCAAACAGTCAGCATCAAGATACATCCTAACAAACTAAACTCTAAAGATAAGGGGGAAATCCTTTGGCCATTCAAACAAAAAGAGCCCAAATTTGTTTACAAAGGAAAGAACATAAGATTGGCATTAAATGTCTCAATAGCGACTCTTTGCTAGAAAACAATGAAGCAACATTTTAAAAATACTCCAGGGAAGAAAATGTGAGCCAAGAAGGCGGACTCCAGCCAAGCAGCTCTGCGAGAATAAAGGCAGAAAAGGTCATAAATTTGCAAGCACTCAGGGAGTATCGGCCCCCTGAGCCCTTCCTGAAGAATTTGCTTAAGAACCAACTTCCAACAACCACAAAACAACTGGAGCGGCTTCAGCACTGCTCTGAGGACAGGCCTGGGATGAGTCCTGGAAGAGCTAAGACAAGGGACCCAGACAAGGGACACTGGAGAGGATGCACATGTTACAGGTTGCAATATAGAAACGGTGCAGTTAACGCGAATCAAATAAACTTGTAATCCCCACACAGCGCCCCCTCACCCCACCTGCAGGGCTTGGGAGAGGAGGCAGAACCACCCCCCCCGCGGGGCCGCTCTCGGGGGGGCTCCTAGCAAGGCCTCTGTGCTCAGCTGCACCCTGGACCCTGACCTCTAACTGCACCTGGAAGGCGCCAGGCACGCCACGAGCCCAAAAGGGTGTGTGGTGTGCCATCCATCCCGGGGCCAGGGTTGCCTCGATGTCAACTCCTTACGCAAGATCATGTCATGTTTACCTTTTGGTGAACTGGTACCATGAGCCTTTCCAGGCAGGACCACAGAACTTCAGCAAGACCTCTCATGCTTCCTTCCTCTGAAACCCTTTATCAGTAAGTACATCAGCGTGTCGGGATTTATTGCCCAGATGGTCCTCCGTCTGGACCAGGGCCGTCCAACTGAATGCACTGCAAGCTCAGAGGCAAATTTTCTAGTTGTCACATTAAAAGCCCCAAAGAAACAGATGACATTAATTTTAATAATATGGTATTTGACCCCAAATATTACTATGTCAGCATGCAACCCAAATTTAAAGTTGTCTCGCATTCCTTCTCAGTACTGCATGTTCCCAATCTGGGCCTCACACTCGCTGCACAGCTCTTCGTGGGGCGCGGGTTTCCGGTCAGTGGCCACCAAACGGCACACTCAGGCCTCGACTTCTCCCTTCACCTTCAGATGCTGCCAAGCCCACCACAGAGAGCCTACGCTTGTTTATACAGCCTGGGGTCGGGAGACAGTGTGAGCTCTGCCCCCTGGGGCCTCAGACTGAGGATGAGGGAAGTCCAGGGCCAGGAAAACATGGTCAGGATGGGTAAGGACCCCGGAAGACCTGCCTTGCCCTCCACGCTCTGCTGCCCCCACATTGACTGTGAGCCCCACATGGGTGGCTGGCGTCAGCTCTGAGGCCAGCAACTAGGCATGTGCACACCCCTCTGCTGAGGCCCGGGCAGGCGCTGTCCTGGGCCCAGGGGGACCCTGCCCCTCTGGATCATCCTGCACACCCAGGCCACAGACCATCCCCCTAGAGCAGTGGTTCTCAACCTTCCTAATGCCGCAACCCTTTAATACAGTTCCTCATGTTGTGGTGACCCCCAACCATAAAATTATTTTTGTTGCTACTTCATAACTGTAATTTTGCTACTGTTAGGAATCGTGATGTAAATATCTGATATCCAGGATGTATTTCCATTGTTACAAATTGAACATAATTAAAGCATAGTGATTAATCACAAAAACAATATGTAATTATATATGTGTTTTCCGATGGCGACCCCTGTGAAAGGGTGGTTTGATCCCCAAAGGGGTCGTGACCCACAGGTTGAGAACCACTGCCCTAGAGGGTCCTCACGTACCCACCTGGGATGCTTTTCCTCTGGCCTGGGCCTGTGTTTCCTGAAAAGAAGGACTGATGGCCAGTGAGGCCTCTCAGCTCCCCCCTCCCCAAGCCTCTCCCTGGAGGGTGGAGCCTCAGATAGGCCCAGGCCTTGTTCCTGATACCAGCAGTGCCCTCCGACCCTGGCCTGTAGTTGGAGGGAAGGCAATAAGGGGGACCGGGGGAAAGAGGGATGGCCTCAAGAACAGAGTGGACACTGAGGGTGAGGCAAAGCCTTGGTGGGGGACTCTGCTCCCTGGGTAATGGTAGAATGGCCCTGGCTTCTCCCAGCTGCAGCATGGTCACAAAAGGGTCAGCTGTCAGAGCCATCACAGCCCTCTGCAGACGCAGACACTGGCGGGAGCACTCTGCAGGCTGTGTCCTTGCCGGGGAGCTGACCCTGGTTTCAAACCCCTGATTTTGGGAACAGGTTTTTTTCACATATATCTTTTTGCCTGGAAAAAGGTCTGCCCTAGCCAGTTTGGCTCACTGGATAGAGTGTTGGCCTGCAGAATTGTGGTCACTGGGAACTGAGTGTCCTTGAATCTGATTGGGGTGCAAACCCTACATGGGCTGGTCACCTGTACTCTATGGCCCAAAAGGCAGATCACTGAGTTGACAGGTAGCTGTGGGGACAGCCAGCAAACCCAGCGTAAGGACCTCTCAAAGGCCAGGTAGCTCAGTTGGTTAGAACATCCTCCTGATATGCCAAGGTTGCAGGTTGATCTCGAGTCAGGGCACATATAAGAATCAACCAATGAATGCATAAGTAAGTGGAACTACATCTATGTTTCTCTCTCTGTTTAAAATCAATCAATTAAAAAATTTTAAAACCTTATAATTGGAGGCAAGAGTCTATTTTCATTAAAACAATTTCCACGACGTAGCAGCGAATCTTGCAGCTCTGGGATTACAAGAGGTGCACGGGAACAAAAGGGTCATGCGTCACCTCAGTGCAGTGAGGAGGAGGCGCTCCGACACATGCTCCCGGCCTGTTCTGTGTGCATCGCCTTTACCATCCAAAGCAGCGCATCTCAGAACAAGACTGGCGGCTCATTAGGTGAGGCAGCATCTGCCAGCTGTGGTTATTTCCTGTCCAGAGCTGCCTGGGGGAAGAACTGGGGGAGTGGCCCCCTCTCCTCACCCCCAGCCTGAGAAGGCACCCTTTGTTGAACTACAAAGGGAAAATAAATGAGGCCATACTTGATTTAAAGCTGAGTCTGTTGTGTCTCCCACTGGATTGATCTCCCGCCAGCCAGATGTGGCCAGACTCCGCCCCGAGAGCTCCAGCGTGGCTGGGTGTGTTTCTGGCAGGGAATCGTGGGTTTGGGGCCACGTTGTTTCAATGAACAATTTGTTCCCTGTTAGCCTCAGAGGCTAACACTTTCACAGGTGGCCTGCGGGTGGGCAGTCGGTGGCAGGTTCCCCACCCAGCATTTTTTGTTTTGCAGTTTGGGCAGGAGATGGGGAGACAGGACAGAGTTTGGCTGGGGGCGACCACTCCCTGTTTCCTGGCGGCGTGGGCTCCGCAGCTCAGGCATTCACAGAACAAAAGGAACCGTGTCTCAGCTGACAGACAGCAGGACAAATGGTGCCATTTTCTTCCACAAGGGATGGCACTGGAGCCAAGGAGGCTGATGCTCCTGCCCACGCTGCACAGGCCTGGGTGACGGGACCTTTCCAGGCCTCTCGCATCTGTGGGCCACGTCTGCAGGTGAGCTCCGGCCTTAATTGCCAGCCATCCTGGCCCCACCTCACACCACTTTCTGGACTCTGACTTCTGAGGGGAGTCCTGGTGGTGGTGCATGGAAACCAATGGTGTCATAACCTCACCGCTGACATCACACTGGGTGAAGTGGAAGGGAGGGTAGATGCCTCCCACTTTGGGA